AAAGAGAGATAAAAAAAATGTAATTCTCTATGACGTTGAATAAATTTGTAAATAACTAATTAAATAAATATATATAAAATTTCTATCAAAGGAATGCTGTCCAGTTTTTTTGGATTATTATAAATAATTTAGATCATTTTTATAGATTTAGAAGATGGATTTTAGACAAAATTTTAATATTTTTTTGAAGAGAATTATCTTGTAATTAAATATTAAGTTATATTAGCAATATGTTATCAGGGCGGTCCTATCATTTTATAGGCGGGCAAAGAAAAAAGAGGGACTTAATATATAAGTAAAGTGTTTATATATATATATATTATATATTATTATTATATTTATATAGTTCAAAAGATTGTTGTTATTGAAAACAATTCAAGGATATTTTGAATTTTTATTTACATAATATAATTTTTTTAAGATTTATTAAAAAAAAAAGAAATAGTTGGACTATCCTGGAGTAGTGATCATTCAAATTTGGGGGGCCCCTAATGAAGTTTTATTATAATTAATTAATCTAATAATAAATAATAAAATATTAGTGTCATGAAGTTTTGGTACTTCATTTATGTTGTTTTTCTGTTATTTTTTTTTTGATACATTAAGCTTTAATGTTGTACTATATTATTTTTTGGACACAATGCCCCTACCCGTTATACTTCATTTCTATTTTCCATTACTCTTAAAAGAATATAACTAAAAAAATATAAACATATTTGTCACTTGCATGACCATATTTTTTCTTACTTCTTTAATTATAATAATATATGTAGATATTAATGTAGATATGTAAAAATATAATATTAATCATAACCATAATTATTAATATACTTTTAAATATATAATATGAATTCTACAACTATAAACTTTGTGAATTTTTAAAAAATTTATAAAATTTTATTTTTAAAAAAATTATAACTATGATTTTAACATTGAATACTAATGTTGGGCATTAGTTTTACGCATCGCGCATTGAAAAAATTAGTATTCTCTTATATATATGAAGTATCTATTAATTGAATTATTATATTAAATGATTGTAATGGTTAAGTGAATTTAATGTTAATAGTAATTTTTGAAGTTGTGGGTTCAAATATATGCTCATGCAATAAAATTTTTTTTTCTCTTAACAGTATCAAAAAAAATAAAAAATCCAAGTTAGGGGAGCCCTTTCAACATTGGCCCTGGGCGGGTTCCCATGTTGCCGCCCTCTGGGCCGGCCCTGTTTGTTATATATATTTGTTTACAAAGTATTTTATAGAAATATAATAAATATTAATATTTTGTTCAATAGTTACACATGATAACCTACGACACACATTTCACAACACATAAAACATGTAGGGAAAAAATTATCACTATCAAATATCAACATGTGCTTGTAAGATAAGGAGTTCATATTGTTAGAATATTTTATTCTAATCTTATTGTGTTCAAATACCATTTTGCCAGGGACAAGAGAACTGTCCCTCACTCGACATTACCACTAATTTAAGGGAATCTAAAGTGGCCAAAACAGCTAGCACGCTTTTGCCAAAGAATGGAACTACAATCCACAAGAAAAAGAGGAGAAATGTGGAGTAATTGTCGAGCTACTATAGGCTATAGCGCAGCGTTTTGTATATGTCTTCTCTCATACAAACCAATCACTTGGTCAGAAACAGCCCACACAATGGCCTGTCCAGGCGGGATCCTCATAAGCCGGGGAAGTAACCCCTTCCACAAAGCACGTATACCTTCTTCGGTACGGTGTATATAGTTGAGATGGCATGAAACAGTCCTCTGTACTTCAAATCACCCCTGATCGGCTTTGAGCCATCAGCCTCGTTTTCACAACGTCGAAAGGTCCAGTGCATATAGGACCAGCTGTCCCTGCAAGGAAACCCGAAATCATAGACTGCCATGGCTGAAGGACATTCCCATTATCAAATGCATTTTTGGCTGTGAACATTGCCGCCTGGTTCGTCCCATTTCGCATAACTGTTGGGGCAGCCCCTGCCCACAGACCACGAATCCCGTTTTCACGAACAATCATTCGGGCACAGTGTATACTGTATAGGCCCTTGTACTTCAGGAGCTCAGGGCTTAAACCTCTCTGCTGTTGTAGTCGGATTTTCACCACCTGCATCAACATAACTAGCTGAGCTATCGACCTTAGACACAATAGAGATGTGACTTAGGGCCGCAATGATCAGAACCAAAAGACCAGCTATTAGAGCATGATGTAGAAGGGGATAATGTGAATTAGTCGAGGGCCTTCTGGTCTTTGATCATCTTGGCAGTTCCAACGGCTTTTGCTGCCCTTTCTTTGTATATATGCTCTTCTTGTATTCGTCTAACAGAATGAATGAAAACCATTCTCATCATTCTCTTATCTCAATTCCTCTCTGCTTTTTCCGTTCATCTCCTTGGCTGATCTCCGACATGGTATAAGAGCAAGGAAGGAGATCCTACGCCGGAGCAGTTACCGGCATGGGAGAAGCCAGCCAGCCGTCGCAACCACGAATGAATCAACCACCGATCAACGCTCCACCGATTGTAGCTCCGCAGCGGAATCAGACTGAAGATGTTGAGAATCCTTTGTATCTCAACTCCAATGAGAATCCAAACACCATCCTTATCAGTCCTCCTCTCAATGGCAGTTCGAACTATGCTTCATGGAGCATCGCAATGCAAGTTGCATTAGAGGTGAAAAACAAATGGTTCCTCATCGATGGAAGCTTGCCGGCGCCGGACAGAACTCAAAACAACTATCAAGCGTGGAGAAGATGCAATCTGATGGTGAAGTCCTGGATACTCAAAACTGTGCATCCATCCATTGCACAAAGCGTGATGTACATGGAAGCCGCGAAAGATGTTTGGAACGATTTCAGAAAGCGATTCTCTCAGCGAGATGCGCACCGTATATCAACTTTGCAGAACGAGATTTACAACCTGAGGCAGGGAAGTCTATCGGTGAATGAATATTATACCAAATGCAGAACGTTTTGGGAAGAGATGTATGAGCTGCGTCCCCTTCCGATCTGCAAATGCAATCCCAATGTTCCTGCAACCTAATCGATCTCGTCAGAAAAGATCGAGAAATAGATGAAATTATCCGATTCCTGCAAGGCTTAGGTGATGACTATAATCCGCTTAAATCTAACATCCTTGTGCTTGATCCTTTGCCAGAAATGTACAAGGTGTTCGTTATGACGGAAAAGTTCGAGAGACAATTGAACATCACTAGCTCAAACCTGCAATTCAACCTTGCCAATGCCGTTCACAATGAACTCAGCTCCAATGACGAAAACAGTGTAGCAGCAGTGAACTACTATAACGGAAAGAGAAACATGAACTCAGGTAATGGAAATCGAAATGCTAAATGCACTTATTGTGGAATGACTGGTCACACCGTGGAGAAGTGCTATAAGAAGCACGGCTATCCACCGGGATGGATTCCGGGGTTCAAATCCAAGGGAAAACAGCCGGCAATGGCAGCCTCTGCTAGCTCGGACAATGCTGCCACTTCTGAACAGCTTCAGAAACTTATATCTCTCCTACAGATCCAAGTTGATCAACACCAGACTCCTACTACTGCTGATGCCGTCTCTCTTATTCCCAATCTCACAGAACATGGAGCTCAAGCCGAAGGCAAGTCCTATTTCACTTCTCATATAAATTCTCTTAATCTTTGTGATTCCACTTGGATTTTGGACTCGGGAGCAACTGATCATATAGTGTGCTCTCGAGAATTTTTTAACAATTGTTGTGAAGTTAAGGGAGCTACTGTGAACCTACCTAATGGAGAGAGAGTTGTCGTTCAACACAAAGGAGATATCAAACTGGCAGAAGATCTATGGCTGAAGAATGTGTTACACATTCCGGACTTTAGATTCAACATTGTGTCAGTCAGTAGATTGCTACAAGACTCATCTCACATTTTGTTGTTTAACTCTGGCCAGTGCCTTCTCCAGAAAGCTGGGATGACCAGTGGTTTTGCTAGGGAAGAAGACGGTTTGTACCTGCTGTGTCAACACCAAAGATCAATTCCTACAGCAACTCTGTGATGAAAGTTGATAGTGCAGACCTTTGGCACAAGCGTTTGGGACACTTTCCCATTAATAAGATCCATCATATAAAGAATGTATCTGTTTCTTATCCTAAGCAATTGCCATGTAATGTCTGCCACTATGCTAAACAGAAACGTGCCATTTTTCCTTTAAGCAACACTATGTCAAATAAATGCTTTGATCTAATCCATGTTGACATTTGGGGTCCCTTCATGGTTGAATCTCTAGGAGGAGAGAGATATTTTCTAACGATTGTTGACGATTTCTCTAGATACACCTGGGTTCACCTCATGAAGAACAAATCCGAGACAAGGGCTATGATCAAAATCTTCCATAAACGAGTCCAAACTCAACATGGAGCAGTTATCAAAACTATAAGAAGTGACAATGGAAGGAATTCAACATGAATGATTTCTTTGATGAAAATGGGATGGTTCACCAAACATCGTGTGTTAACACACCCCAACAAAACGCAGTAGTTCAGCGCAAACATCAACATATTCTAAACGTAGCTCGTGCTCTCAGATTCCAGGCTAACTTACCCCTTAAATTTTGGGGTTTATGTATTTTACATGCTGCTTTCATCATAAACAGGTTGCCATCCCTGTCACTGCTTGGCTTAGTCCATATGAAAGGTTGCACGGAAAGAAGCCTAGCTTGGACAATGTGAAAGTTTTCGGATGCTTGAGTTATGCTGCTACTCTATCACAGGGCAGACACAAGTTGGCACCTCGCAGTAGACAATGTGTGCTCATTGGTATTCCAGCTCACATCAAAGGATACCTGCTCTATGATCTACAAGATAATTCCATCTTTATATCTAGGGATGTGATCTTCTACGAAGATTATTTTCCCTTTGCTGACAAAGTAGCCTATGCTGACAAATATCCCTCTCAAATGGATACTCCATCTCTGCCCAACATTCCTGTCAATAGCCGTGAAGAAGCTGCTGATCTAGGCATCCTCCATAGTCATGTTGATTCGATGAATGACACCCACAGCAGTATTGAATTGCCTATGATGCAAGATGAATCAAATCCTCATGAAACGCACACAGATTCTGCTTCCATACAGAATTCCCCGAACATTATATGCCAAGCAATGAAGTCTCTTTACATGCTACTTCTGATGAAGAATGCTGTGAGGACACTGCCGTAACCATCCACAATGCTCAGCCAAGGAGATCTAGCAGATCTCGCAATGCCCCTCTAAACTTCAGGACTACTACTGTGATGCCATTATGAGCTACATGACATCTCCCCATTCTCTGTCGAAGGTTATATCCTATGCCAACCTCAGTCCCTCACATAAAGCCTTCTCCATGGCAGTATCCACAATTAAAGAGCCAAGAACCTACCAACAGGCCATGCAAAATGAATGTTGGAAGAAGGCCATGGATGCTGAAATTGCAGCTTTACAGGATAACCAAACATGGGAGTTAACTGATTTACCACCGGGAAAAATTCCCATTGGTTGCAAGTGGATTTTCAAGGTGAAGTTGAAAGCGATGGCACGATTGAAAGACATAAGGCACGGCTCGTTGCTAAGGGCTATACGCAGCAGCTTGGCATCGATTACCTTGACACATTCTCTCCAGTGGCGAGACTGACTACTATTCGGCTCTTCTTAGCTGTTGCAGTATCTAAGGCATGGGAAATTCATCAAATGGACATCAATAATGCCTTTCTTCACGGTGACTTGAACGAAGAAGTATATATGTCTTTACCTCCTGGTTTTCACAGCAACAAGCCGAATCAAGTATGTAAACTTCGACGATCTCTATACGGATTGAAACAGGCCAGTCGCCAATGGAACTCCAAGCTCACTGCTGCTCTAGTTCAGAATGGATTCCATCAGTCCAAATCTGAACCATCTTTGTTTACTAGAGGTATGGATACCAATTTCATTGCTTTGTTGATCTATGTGGACGATATAATAGCTGCCAGTCCGAGCATATCTGTCATCAAATCTGTTAAGCAATTCTTAGACAAAGAGTTTAAAATTAAAGATCTTGGCCCCCTAGGCTACTTCCTTGGAATTGAAGCTTGCAAAGTGAAAGGAGGCATGAATCTTTGTCAACGAAAATTCGCTCTGGACATCTTAGAAGAGGCTGGTTTCCTGGAAAGTAAGCCAGTACCAACCCCATGGTTCAAGGCTTAAAGCTAGCTCGTAATGATGGCACACCCCTGGCAGATCCGACCATATTCAGAAGATTGGTAGGGAGAATGCTATACCTTACTGCCACATGCCCAGACATAGCATACTCCGTTCAACAGCTCAGTCAATTTGTTGATTGTCCTACGGACAAACACTTAATAGCCGCTCATCGTATACTGCGTTACATTAAATTGTCACCTGCCAAGGCTTACTATATACTTCAGATTCTCAACTTCAGCTCAGAGTCTTCTCAGACTCCGACTGGGCAGCATGCGGTGACACTCGAAGGTCCATCACCGGATATTGTGTATTTCTAGGTGACGCCCTTGTGTCATGGAAATCCAAGAAGCAGATGACAGTGTCTAGGAGTTCCTCCGAAGCCGAATACAGAGCCTTGGCAGCCACTGTCTGTGAGGTACAATGGCTTGTCTATCTCTTACAAGACTTGCACATCCAGCTGGACAAACCAGCCACCTTATTCTGCGACAGCAAATCCGCTATAGCCATAGCGGAGAATCACGTCTTCCACGAACGCACCAAACATATTGACATCGACTGTCATATCGTTCGGGAGAAACTTAACCAAGGCCTCATTAAGCTTCTGCCTGTATCCTCCGCCAATCAAGTGGCCGATGGTTTTACTAAGCCTCTTGGCTCTCAGATGTTCCAGACCTATGTATCTAAGCTGGGCGTTCAAAATTTACACGCTCCAGCTTACGGGGGGGTATTAGAGCATGATGTAGAAGGGGATAATGTGAATTAGTCGAGGGCCTTCTGGTCTTTGATCATCTTGGCAGTTCCAACGGCTTTTGCCGCCCTTTCTTTGTATATATGCTCTTCTTGTATTCGTCTAACAGAATGAATGAAAACCATTCTCATCATTCTCTTATCTCAATTCCTCTCTGTTTTTTCCGTTCATCTCCTTGGCTGATCTCCGACACCAGCAAATCAAACTACATCTGAAACGAAAGACTAAATACGCATGTCTACATGCAACTTGAGTGACCCGAGATAGAAGCAAGAGATTCAAATAAAAGCTTAATTTGCAGCTACGATGATAAAATAAGGTTCTTTAGTAATGAAAATCTTGCAATCAATAATAGATAAGTGAATTTCCCTCTTCAATCATATAGTTAGTCAAAGAATGCTGAATTTCACATTACACTGAAATTTACAAGATTTCAAATATTTTGATAATCCAAATATTGAGTTATATCGTGATGATACCCTAGAGCATATCTATACTTTTGTGACAAATTGGAGGTCACTTTTGAATATAAAATTTCTGAGACCTTGCATCAAGTAAGACCGAGGCTTTAAAAGTGTTCCACCTGGAGTAGATGTTGAAGATTGGAAGTGGTTTGTCACTAACAAATTTATGACAGAAAAGTTTCAAGTATGTTGATCTGATATGGTAATGACGGTTTTATATATTATAAAAAAATATTTTTTATTTAAATAATCACTTACATTTGAAAGTTATGCAGAAAATCAGTTAGCAAAACACTAAGAATAGGTCAACATCAGATATGGGAATGCCTATCGCACAGGGAGTAACCCACATAGAGAAATCATATTGAAAATGTACTAAAAAAAACAGTTCTGCTAGTTATATATGAATTTTTTTTTCTTTTTACCTAGAATGACATTTGTTTTTCTCAACTTATTGGGAGGTAAAGATTCACAACCGCCTGACTTGGGAGTAATTTTCTTAAAGACTAGAAGCAAAATTGAAAAATTAAATGGGACAAAAGAAGAAGAAAAATATGTAAGCTAAGTGTCATTATTTAGCCTTTCTGCATTAATCTTTTTATCTTGATATACTTCTGCATTAATCTTGTTTACTTGTAAACTTTTTATAGAATGAAATTGTGAAGATTATTAGGTCTAACCCATCACTTTCAAACCTTGAAATTGTTGAAAAACATTTTGGACAACAACGTCATGGTCCTGTATATGGTTATGGGGTGGAGTGAAGCGAAAAAACTTAAATGACACAAAATCTATTTACATCAAAGAGCTAGAGGCTAAACTCCTTGAGAAGGATGAAGAAAACCGTGACCTTAAGAAGCGCATGCATATATTTGAAAGTAGGTCGATCCGAATAGAGAATGGAGATCCACCATTAGTTACAACTACAACTACTAGTGATGACATCCAATAGGTACATAAAGTTAATGGAGAGAAACCTTTAATGTTGTTTATTATATAAGGAAATAACTAACTGATATTATTTTTTGGAGTTCCTATACAAAATGACTAAATTTTTATTATTGCAGGGTGCTTAGAACTCAAGATATGAACATTAAATAGCGAAATTTCACAGAAATTTTGCACAAATTCAAACCCCAATTCCCCAACCCTAGCTAAAATCCAAAATTGTTTAGCATAAACACACACATTGATACAATCAGATAACTTTTGGATGAATTTGACAGCTTATTACATTACAATAGAAAAGCTAACCTTAAAAGCTAAACCTCAGTTCTTCACGGCGGCGGCGGTTGGACCGACGACGACAGAGGATGGAGGCGGCGATGGCGGCAGAGGTTGGACACGGCGATGGCGTCGAAGCTTGGACGCGGCGGCGGTAGGATAATACCTATAGTTTCATTTTATATACACTATAGTTTTATTACAACACAACTACAGTATTGTTTTGATATAACTACAGGTTCGTTGGATAATATACACTCAAATATGTGAAATTATTATTCAGTTTCATTTTGTATACACTGTAGTTTCATTTCAACACTACTATAGTTTCGTTTCAATTCAATTGCAGTTTCATTTGATAATATAAAAACAATATGTGAGACAGTTTCAGTTTAGATACACTGTAGTTTCATTTTGTAATTAACACACCAAAAATACGCGCTCCGTTAAGCTATAACGGCAGCCATTTCTTTACTTAAAGAAACGGCGCCGTTTTTGGATCATGGTCTACAAAGCTTTGTGGACCGTGGTCCATGATATAATTGCTAAAAACCAGGCTACCCACAAGTATATTGATAAGTACGATTAATATATTTAATTTAGATAGTTTATTATAATAAATTAGTTTTATTTATTTAATATTATATTTATTTTAAACTTTATTTTATATTTTGTATTAATATAATAGTTATTTGAATAATTTAAGCTTAAATGTCATTTTTCGGCCATGGGGAATACATTTGTTAATTAATAAGAGTTGGGCAAGGTGGAATTAAAGTAGGTTAATTTTTTTTTTTTTTTTTTTTTTTTTTTTTTTTTTTTTAATTTCAGCAGCCCAAACTACACATGCATGATGCAACCGTGTGCACCTTGCATGGTGCACACGGTTGTAAAAACGACGTGGTTTTGACGTCCGACCTTTAAAAAAAAAATCAGAATTGCATAACTACACATCCATAACTTCATAACTATAAATCCAGAATTGCATAACTACACATCCATAACTTCATAACTATAAATTCAGAATTGCATAACTACACATCCATAACTTCATAACTATACATTCAAAATTGCATGCATAACTACACATCCATAACTTCATAACTATACATTCAAAATTGCATTACTTCACATCCAAACTTCATAACTATACATTTGAAATTATAACTTCATAACTATACATTCAGAATTGCATGCATAATTAGACATCCATAACTTCATAACTACAAATCCAGAATTGCATAACTACACATCTATAATTTCATAACTATAAATATAGAATATGAAATTATAAAATTATGAACATATGTTTACGTAACTAAAGGCAATCGAAAATGATTTTTTTTTATTTAAGTAAAACGATGCCGTTTTTTGCATCCAGGTGCACACAGATGGACAACATAAATTGCCCCGTTTAATATATTTGTCCTTTCTTTATCTTTTTTTTCCCTTATAAGCTTTTTACGTATGTAGACACTAGCGAAACTTCTTCCGAGCGTCTTCTGTGAACGCAGCGACGACATCGGTCTGCTGCGATGAATGACTCCATGGGCGAACAACTTCTGCGACTGCTTCGAACTGCTAGTCTGCTACCACAAACGGACGAAATCAACTGGAGCTTATTTTCTTTGGTGCGTAGGATTTAGAAAATAAATATTATTTATTTTCTAGGTTTTATGTGGTTGAAGAAATTGATTCAATTTGAGGATGTTAGGGAAATTAGGATTATTTTTAGCTGATTAGGGTGCTGAAATTAGTATAAATAGGCCTGAATTATTCAATAGAGGACAGTCAGTACATTTGATGTGTTGTTAAGTTTATTTTCCAACTCAATAATAATTGAAGTTTTAGTTCTGTTAGAATTGTGAGATCTAATTTGATTTTCTTTTATGCTACACTATTTATATGCCTTCTATTATCTTGATATTACTGCTTTGATTAATTGTACAAAAAGGATCTGTTGTTCAATTATCAATCCAGTAAATTGCCATTTCGAATTCTTAAATCTGTAATTGTTTAAGTGTTCTAAACCTTAGTCGTAAAATAACATAGTTGATTATAAAAGAGATTTTCAATCTTATGTTATGGAGATGTATAGTCTAGTTTAAATGGACTGAGCTTGCGAGTCTGTCGGCTAAAATTGGTAGTCTTTCTAATTCTTAATGCTGATAGTTAATTAAATCCTAAGGGCTTATTTAGGGTTGTTAATTATCTAGAGAAGTAATTGAAGAGCCTGTTTTGATTACCGATAAAGTAAGGAGAGATATGTTGTTAGATCGAGCTTGTTAATAACAATAACCAATTTGGTGTAGGATAAAAGAATTTACACTTGGCTAAAGTGTCATCTAGCACCATGAACCATATTTGATTATTCATCCCGCACCATGAACTTTCATATCGTATATATCAAGCCACAAATCAAGAAAAAAAAAATCACCTAGAACTTTTAGCAGGTTATCATATCTTCCTGTTGACATGGCCTGATGTGGCATTTCTCTTTACCTTATGTTGTCCATGTAAGCATTTACATATTTAAAATTTAAAAAACAAAAATTATTATATTAAAAAAACTATAATTTTCTTCTCTTTATTTTCATAATTTATACTTTTTCAAATTTTCAATCCCAATGTTTCAACTTTCTTTTGTTTTTTCGAGAATTCATATTTTTTGGCTAATTTTTTGTTTAGTATTATTCTAGTTTTCCTAATTTATAGAAATGCTAATTTTTTTTTGTTTAGTATTTTCCCACATAAATATATCCATCAGCACTTTGAACAATAGTTATGTTGTGAAACCGAATGTACCATGCGTGGTGCATACGATGCAAACAACGTCTTCTTTGACTAAAAACGCGCGTCCCACTTAAAAAAATTCAGGTTCGATTCTCGGCAATAGCATTATTGTGGATATGTAGTTATGAATTTCTAGATATTTAGTTATGAATTTCTGGATATATAGTTATGAATTTCTGGATATTTAGTTCATTCATTGTGGATATTTAGTTCAATCATTGTGGATATTTAGTTCATACATTGTAGATATTTACTTCATTTATTCACTGTGAATATATAGTAATGAATTTATGGATATATAGTTATGAATTTCTGGATATATAGTTATGAATTTCTGGATATTTAGTTCATTCATTGTGGATATTTAGTTCAATCATTGTGGATATTTAGTTCATTCATTGTGGATATTTAGTTCATTCGTTGTGGATTTTTACTTCATTCATTAACTGTGGATATATAGTTATGAATTTATGGATATATACTTATGAATTTATGGAGATATAGTTATGAATTTATGGATATATAAAAATGCTA